CTCTATTATTTCTGTACTTCTACAGTACTTCGGAGGTCAATGCCCATTAGTGATTCTCTTCTACGATATGCCTACTACTGAAAGGTCCACTGATTAATCGCAGATAAGAAAGTATAATACATACTCCAAGTATTGAAATACACGCCATCGTGTTGGGATTCAATATTTCGACATTAATTATGTCATCATACGCCTACTTTTATTTCAAATTGTGTGTTACGGTTGATGGTAGCAAATACGCCTATATCATTAAATATATTTTATTTAATATTATTTAATTTGTTTATCAGAAAATTAGGTTAATGTATGTTTTATAAAGTATGCGTATTATATATATAGGCTTAGCTCAACTAGCATTCAATTAAATACATTAGAAACACTGTTTTGGCTCGACGTCGTAATAATTATGTACGAAAGTGTATTCTTCAGGCCTATCAGTTCATCGATCTATGGAAGAAAGAATCCAACTACTCAATAATGTTGGAATATAGAATACATGCCAAGTTGGAGGTAGCTAGAGGCTTGAGATTTAACAGGAAATAACTCAATTGACGTGAGTCGTGGGCCCGTCCAAGGGCCCCGAAAAATGTTGGGCTCTCTGGGTACTCTGAATATCTCTAGTGCTGAAATTAAACCTTAAAAATGAGTAGCTATAACAGGAACGATAGAATAATCTCACTACAATAATTATTAATAATAATAATAATAATAATAATAATAATAATAATAATAATAATAATAATTAATAATAATAATAATTTAATATTGGTTGCCTTTTTGCCCTTTAAACTGTTTCATTTTGCAGTTATTGTGATGTGGGTCTATTTGTTGAAAAATGTTTAAATGTTGATTGTTTAGATTTTTCTGCTTGAGCCCTTTACTTTTATAAAATTCAACCCATTTTGAGTGATGAATAAAGAATGATTTTATTTTATTTGAATCGGACACCTAGAAATCCCCGCGTTTTAGCGCGCACAGAGGCTACCACCAGTTTAGGCAACTGAGCTAAGCTGCTCTGCTACCTGGTTATAAATCTATAAGGTACCATTCCAATATTTAATAATAGGCTCTATTACAG